ATTAAAAAAAAAAAAATCCACCATTAATGTGACCTATAACCTGTACAACTCAATTAAAAAGAGAGAGGGGAAGTTAAAAAAAAAAAAAATTAACTCTCGTGGAAGTGTTCACTCCGTCTTATATCTAACTGCAGATGTGGCATTGTGTTCGGACGTAACAAATCACATCACAACTCATGTTCATCAGCACACAACTACCATTAAAAGTGCCTGTGATTAACCCCAAATAAAGTTCAGCTATTCCGGTCGGCTTTTCCTGACATTTCGGAAGTCACAGTTTACAACCCAAGCGATGGTCGACAGTCAGCTTCTGCAGCATTAGAGGGATGGCATCGTTCAAAGCTGTCATTCGGGAGAAGGCTGCACAAGACATTTCCAAGGCATTCAATAAATCATGGAACATAGTGGAGACGGTCATTATGGAGGAGGAAAGGGGAAAATATGGCACAACAACGAGGGAGGTCTCACTGTTGTGCCATATTTTCGTATGTTCCAACACCCTGGCATTTTTGAGCAGGGGCGTGTAGACTTCATATATCCACTGCATATGGCAGCTACCAAAGTGTCCTGAAAATGAGAATGAACCAATTAAATGATTGTTAATTTTTCTCATGGTCGACCGAGAAAATGTAGTCAAAAGTTCATCTGTGGTGCAGGCTAAAGTGGGACAGCCCCTTTCTGCTCCCGCCCCCCCCAGCCCCCCTCCCTCTATCCTTCCCCCAGGCGACATCCCCATCATCCTTCTGGCCTGGCCAATAACCTCTTAATGTCCTACTCCACATGCTAGACACGCGCCGGCTAAAATGATGAGAAAAATTTATTGAACTCCCCAAACCATCATTAAACTAAACTCCACTTCCATTAGGGAAAATTCTGCATAATTATTTGTGTGTGTTTGCTGCACGAATGTGCGCGGATTCGTGTGTGCGCAGTTTGTGTTCTGACGATATTAGATTGTGTCGCGGAGATGAAGGCTTCCCCCGGTGAGCTGCCATGCTGAACACGTGTTTGCCGTTATTGTGCTGCAGCGAGACACAATAGCGAAAACCCAATCAGGTAAAAAAGTAATAAATGCAGCCAGTGTACGCGGAAAGTGGATCACATGTTCTAATGTCTTTTTCGGGGATTACATTAGGGAAGATCCTCGAAGAAAATTAAACATGGGCCGTGGGAGGTCAGGCCCCCTCCCTGCCGTGTTTGCATGTTGCGTGCACACATTAGATTGATGGCGCTAAGCAATAGACCACCCACTGCTTGCAGCCTGTGCTGGATAATTCAAGCTAAATAGAAATGAAGTACACGAGTGCAAGATGCTGTTTGAATGGTGAACTCCTTTTTTTTTTTTTTTCCCCCTCATCCCCCATGCGATTTGCAATTTTGGGACAGGAAGTAGACCCAAGGCTACTGGCACATAATTATTTGGAGCAATCACGTGTAGATGAAGACAAAAGTATTGGGACTCCTGTATTTATACCTACAGGAAATGAAAATCCTATTTTGCAGCTTTCTATTTATCTAAGATGACTTTCTCCATAGGCACTTTTTTTCTTTTTCTTTTTTTTTCGGGAAAACAGTGGTCAGTACTGTATTTTCCACACAAAAAGGCGCACTGGATTATGAGGCGCACCTTCAATGAATGGCCTATTTTGTAATTTTTTTCATACATTGGGCGCACCGCATTACAAGACGCACTCTACAATGCATCCGCAAGATGGAGCTCAAGGAAACGCCAACAGAACGATCAGATGTCAGTAAAGCTTATTTAATAAAGCTGCGACACAGTTCACTTAACCAACAGCAAGTTATAACATTGACTCGTTAACATTGAACTCTCTTGCCGCTGCTCTATTTCCGTGTTCAACTGCGTAACCAATCAACTTAAGTTTGAACTCTGCGTTGTCAGCACGTAAGGAGCCATTTTGGGGTCGAAATATTACCATAATGACCATACACAAGGCGCATCGGATTTTAAGGCGCGCTGTGAGCTTTGAAGAAAATGGAAGGCTTTTAGGTGCGCCTTTTAGTGTGGAAAATACGGTAATAAAAAGAAATGTTAGTAAAACAGGGCAACAGCCTTTTCTCATCTTTATGAGTAACTGTGCACCCCACCCCATATACTTCTGGGGCAATTGCGAGTCAGGCTTGTATATATGCCATGTATGTATGCTAACTACAAAAAGTCAAAAGAAATACAAGGCTGCTTCTTTGAAATATTACGAGTAATTAACATAAAACTGTGACAAAACATGACAACAAGATAATTTGCAGTCTGATGCCAGACTGGTGAAAAGGTTATCATTGTGTTGTATGACGCCTGCTGTACACACATTTGGTAACGGTAGGTAACGCAAGCTGAACTATTGGCATACAAGTCATCAAAAAGTTTAAAAAAAAAAATCCTTGGTAAAACATCCCCTTTTAAGTGAAGAGATTGCCAGAATGCAGCATGAGGAAGCTGGCAAAAAGAATTCCACCCCAGCATCGCTGGGAATCAGGGGTGAGGCGGGCTTGCTGTGAATATGCAAAGCAAGCACAGGAAAAGCTCTCAGAGGCACAAGGCGAGGAAAACGCGTGAGCCGGGCCGTTCATGCGAGAGTGCGGATGTATATGAGCACATGTCGACGCGCTCACCACGCGGGCCAGGCGGCTCATGCATATTGAGCGGGTACCAGGGGGAGCGCGATTTCCAGCCGCTCAATTATGTATCTGGACAGTCCCTGTGTTTGCTCACACCTCATTTCACACGCAGCCTTTGTGAGGGTCAGAAGACCCGGGGCCTGATTGGCTAGCACTCAAAGAAAATAAAGAGGAAGTGGAAACAAATCATCTGTGTGAATGAAGGTCGCCGGACGTGAAGGACACGGCGTGGCGAGGACTTGTATTTGCGCCACCAAATACACAATGATTGCTTTGTCACAGTTGCTGACTGACTTCCATTTGACGGCTTATGGAATGATCGTTTTTACGGATGGAATATCAGGGTGGTTGACCACTTTAGGATCAAAGATGAAAAAAAAAAAAAGTCAGAGGTGGACCTTGAATGCATTCCCCTGTAGACAGTGTGGGTTAAAGCAAAAGCAAAGTGCCCACCGGGGAAAGTAAATGAGCTTTCAGGATGATGAGGCGATTTCCAAATAACTCGCGAAGGGCCGGTCGACGCGCTGTCTTCTGTGTGGACGGCTAAGGTCACAACACAGACACGAAACGAGCTGGCAATGTCGCGCTCCGGCATGTGTGTGGAAGCGCCTCCTTTTTTTCTGTGTGCGCCTGTTTGTGTATGGGGATCGATACTGCGCAATGAGAGACGGTCAAGCCTGCTCATGTGACTACATTCCTCTGTCTCGCTGTGAAAGACTTATTGATTACCCAAGTCTGTGTTTGTTAGCACAAATGTTACCCGCGGGCACGCTAAAGGACACAAAGCAAACGTCACATATCCATGCATGCTCACAGTATTAAATTTATAACCATAATTTCTGACAAGATGGAATGTATAGGGGCTCTTCAGTCTACGATGGGGGGGGGCTCTAGAACTATCCAATCCAGCCATTTTTTGATCAGCTTTATCCTCACAAGGGTTTCAGGGGGTGCTGGAGTCTATCCCAGCCGTCTCCGGGCAGTAGTTGGGGGACACCCTGAACCGGTTGCCAGCCATTCGCAGGGCACACACAGACGAACGACCATCCAGTCTCACACTCACAATTTAGAGTGTTCAATCAGCCTGCCATGCATGTTTTTGGAATGTGGGAGGAAACCGGAGTACCCGGAGAAAACCCACGCAGGCCCAAGCAGAACATGCAAACTCCACACAGGGTGGCCGGAGCCGGAGTCGAACCCTGCGCCTCTGCACTGTGAGGTCGACGCGCTAACCACTGGGCCACCGGTCCGCCCAGAGTCTGGAACTAATTAATGGTATTTCGATTCATTTGGTGAGGTGCTGATATATTCCCACCCGAGTGACAATGTACATTCCCGATTGGGACATAAATGTTCGACCCAGAACCAAATTGGCCCGGGCACCAGTGGTTGGAGACCACTGCTATAAAAAATGGATGGATTAATATTGCCTCAATTGCTTTGACATTGTGGCAAAATGTAGTAATTTATGCGAGCCATGTCTGTGGCCTTTGTTGTGACAGGACACTGCGGATAATCATCAACAAAATAGAAAGCCTGCCTTTTAGTGCAATTTCATTGACATTTCTGGCGAGAACAACATTGCATCACGCGCCATCAATTTGCCTTTCAGATGATTGCTGATCATAATACATAACGCTGACCCACGTGACTCGTTCATTCTCATTCCAAATTGGTTCTGCAGGTACCACGGGCCTTTACCTTACCTGCATTATGAATTATGCATCATGCTGTTGAGCCATACAAGACTGTGCTAAATTGGGCCGGTGTGTATCTGTGTGCCGATTTGTTGTTTGACTTTAGCCACTAATTGGACGTGTGTCCGTGTCTGCGCTCGCGTGTGTGTGTGTGTGTGTGTGTGTGTGTGTGCCGATTTGTTGTTTGACTTTAACCACTAATTGGACGTGTGTCCGTGTCTGTGTGCGAGCGCGCGTGTGTGTGTGTGTGTGTGTGTGTGTGTGTGTGTGTGTGTATGGCACAGAGGTCCAGTGCAGGTAGCGTGGACAGTTTAATGCCTCTGCTGCGCAAAACACAAGTTCAAGGAGAGAAGGCTCACTCTCTTTATCACACTTTGCCACTCTGACCCGACCGTCTCGGTTCCTCGCTTCCCCGTCTTCCTGCCTTCTTTTCCCACTTTGTTCTTCCTTCCTGTGGGATCTTTAGCGATCCATTCGCCGAGCTCCAACAGGAGACCCCACCCTGACGCACACACCAATTTGTTGCTAAACTAGAGACCAAGAGCAATTATAGAATGCGGACATCCTCTCAGCTCTGCAGCTCACTCTCTGTATGTGTGTGTGTGTGTGTGTGTGTGTGTGTTGTGCTCTCCAGTGAGGGCCACATGAATGTACGCAGTGCTTTACCTGGTTGGAAGACGCTGATTCCCAGGAGGTTGGAGGTACGGTTGGCCACTCGGCTCCAGCTGTTGTCGTAGTTTTTCCTCCACAGAACGGCGGTGCACTGGTACTTGCCGGCCTCGCGACGCCCCGCCCGCGTCACGGACAGTCGGAAGTTGGTGTTGGAGTGCGAGCGGTCCACGGTGGTGCGGGTGCCCAGACCGAGCAGCTGTTCCCCCCACTGCAACGTACCCTCCCGGGTGAAAGTCACCAACTCCTTGAACTCGCCCTCGCCGGAGGCCTCTGAACCAGCCGGCATGAAGCGCCAAGTGACGGAGGTGGGGACGCGAGGGTTGTGGCGGGGCTTGACCAAGCACAGGAGGTCAAAGGAGTCTCCGTAGGTTACAGATGGGGTCCGTGATGAGGCGGAGACCACGAAGGAGGACTCTGGTGGCGAGAGAACAGAAGATATGGTGATGATAACACAGGCAACGTAACCAAGAGTACATATTGGATCTGATTAATATATGCCAGAGTTTCCCCAATATGTTTCAGCTCAAGCCCTGCCGCAAATCGCAGTCAAACTGGACAAAATCAATAAATAAATACAGCCGCCGGCAACTCGCATCTGACATTAGGTGCTTGGCACACATATACTCACTCGATGCAATGGGGAAAAACTGCAACCCCCGGGGTCTCTCAGGAAACATTTTATTTATTGAACCATAAACAACATGATGTGCTTGTCAAAGAAGTGGATTGCCCTGGCCGTCATAGCGATATTATAATATGAAAAGACGCGAAAGGGGCGAGAAAAAAAAAAAGCAGTGTCGGTATTTGAGAGGCTGCTGGTGATGATTGCCCGCTTCATTGACTTCTCATTCAGTCGTGAAACAGAGATTCTCCACGCTTCACTTTTTAGCCATAGGTCCATGGAAATGAGAAATATACTTAAGTATCACTGTAAAACATTACGTATATGTATAAAAAGACTAAAATGCTCAACTTCAAGTGGACCAAAACTTCAGAAAAAGGGAATGAAGTTGACTAAATGTGACATCAAACAAGCGGGATTGAAATTGGATGAAAATTGAGACTAAATTTAGAAATGGCTGGTAAAATTAACACAACTGGGCACATATCGACATTCACAGGTCTGTTTTTGGAATGTGGAGGAAGCTGGAGTAACTAACTGGAGAAAATGCACCTGTAGAAAATGCACACAAACCGGGGGAAACCAAGAGTTGAGGTTTTGAGTTGAGCATTTGTGTGTGCGCTTCATTCACAGTGAGAGCCTCAACATTAACAGCGGTGCAAAGACAACACAAGGGAAAGACTTCTTTTAAGCACCGATGTTCGATCTCCGCCCACCTCGCCGCCGAGTGGAAACTGTTCTCATTAGGCCAAAACGTTCCATCATCATCATACATTGTGATCAACACACGCCCACGGGCAGCGTGGGATCTCGGTCCTAAAATGATCTGCTGCCATGTTTGTGATACTGTATGTTAAATTATGAAGCACTAAGCAAACAACAAAACAAAAATTGGAGGAAATATGTCTCGTTATTTTGACGAAAATTTCTCCCTGGTCTTGATTTTGTCCTGTCCCTCGTCCCTCTTTCTCCGACAGCCATCCTCCCCGTTGCGCTTTAGGACGGTGTAATCAATGGCTTTTTTTTTCAGTTCGGTCCACTTAACCCACCGCGGCGGAGGCTGCCTGGGGTTTTTCATTTTCTCACTGACAAAAACCTGGGCAGCTATTTTCATTGAAATGGAAAGACTACGCAGCATAAAAGGCGGCTCGTCTGTGTGTTTTGTTTTGTTGAAAAATACTCCACTCTAGTCTGTCAAGCTAAGCTACTGCACCATGCTGCCTTGTCTTGACTGTGGCACACAAATGAAAAGAAGAAGTTTCCCAGTGGATGTTTTCCGAGGATGCCCTCCAGGGTTTTGTTAGTAGGCAGCGGGAGTCCATTAGGAGGCTATGAATTCAATTAGGTTAAAATGACCATATATAATATCCGGAGCATTAGGCTGTCAATCGATTCAGAGGAGCAGGTCAACAGTAGAACCCATCCTGTGCCCAGAGGATGTTTTTTTTTCCCATTTTAGGTCGAAAAAATCAACAAGCCTTATAACTAAACAGAAAAATTAACAGGCGTACACAAAAGGGATGTGGATCCAATAATACTTTTTTTTGGAAGGAGGAAAAGTGGTAAACACACAAACCAAAATAAATACAAGATGAAGTTCAACACAAAATGTCCGCCGCATCACAGCACACACCATTCGTCTACAGTACAAACATGGACAAGAAGAGGGGGCAGAGACAGGGACCTCTTGACTTGTTTGCACCAAACTACCGTATTTTCACGACGATACGGCGCACCGTATAAAAAGGCACAGACTCAGTTACGGATATTATTTCTGTATTTAAAACATACTAAAGACGCATTGTATTATTGGACGCAGGCATGGTAAATGATATGCTATCTTAAAAAAATATGGTAGCATCCATGCATGCTAGCATATCTTTTTAAAAAGGCAGCTGGAGCAAAACTGAGTTCGGTTGTACTTTATTGAAGTATTTAAACATCCGCATGCTGTCTTCAGTTAAGTCCGCCTTTCCTCGATATAAAACAGCATGTCGGCACAACATCAGTCAGTCAAACGGACCCCTCATCAAAGTCACATGACAACATTCACAGATTTTGGAACTCGGTGCATACACAAGGCATTATTAGGTGCCCCATCCATTTTGGAGAAAATGGCCGAATTTTTAGTGTCGTGAAAATACGGGACATAACAGGCCTTCTTGTTCCTCAAACGAATGTCTGCCTGAAGCCAACAAATAGCCACTTAAAATCGGACCTCTTTGAAGCAAGTTAATCTGTGTGTGTGTGTGTGTGTGTGTGTGTGTGTGTGTGCGCGCGCGCGCGCCGGCGCGTATTGAGCCCCTCTGCTCTTGACCTGCCAGCTCCTCACTGCTTCGCTCCAGTGGTTTTCTCAGCCTGTACTCAGAATGTTCTTCTTAACTCTGCACTGATGGAGGGCAGACCCATACACTGTGAAACACATCGGTGCTGAATTTCCATTTGGATAAATCCAACTAATCTGTGTGTGTGTACGTGTGTGTGTGCGTGTGTGTGTGTGCGTGTACGTGTCTCTCTGTGCGCATAATGACTGCCACCACAGCATGCAACACTTGACGTGTGGCAGGTGGTGTGAGAATGTGTCCTAATAGTTCTTTACCCCTAGGCAGAACATGAATAAACCATGGAATGTTCGAAAACTCGCTATGGACATAAGTAATGGGACACGCGGCCATTACACCTACAGTGAATGAAAACCGAAGAAAATGTGCTGCTGGAACAGCTTGCACTCTTCTGGAAAGACTCTACAAGATTTTTGGCGTGTGTCCTTAAACCTTGAAAATCGCCGGCTCACAAGCTCTCTTCTCGTTCTTCCTGTGATGAGGTTGAGTTTTTTCACGTTCGACCGGCCCAAACTCATCCAAGCATGTCTTTATGAAGCTTGCTTTGTACAGCTAGGAGCTTCGCCCGGCCGGGCACTAATTCAGTTACTGATCAAGAAATTTAGTCTCGTTAACATGCGTCGAAGGTTCACAATGATTTGGACTCTCATTTGTGTATAGCACGACATGGTAGGGCGGAACGATTTTAGGGAAAGAGTGAATTGCAATTTTTCTGACAAGCTATCATGATTTGGATTCCATTCACGATTTCACTCAAATCAAAATTTAAAGATTATATTCGCTTTGTACAGTTACATTTACAACATAAAATTACATCATAGCATTAAAACCTGAAAAGCTTCAATAATGGACCAACACTAAAGAGGCATGAGGGCGCGAAGTGTTTCAACAAAGAGCAAGACTTTTGTTTAATTCTTCTCTCTGTCGAGATGGCACATATTTGCCCATTCTTCAATTCCATGGGCTGAGTGCGGTCTGTCAGCCAGTGTGTCTAGCTCCCCACTTTTCGGTACCAAAGCAATATGGTTGACACCCCGAACAGACAGTAAGTGTGCCCAAAAGTGGTATAGTTGACGACATAGCGCTGATCGTTTAACAGGCCGTAGTGGACGCAGCTCGAGCTGTTATGTACAATCACACTGCTATTGATCAAATGACAAGTCAACCTTGTATGAGCATATTCAGTGGACCACATAATTGACTTAAGCGGGTCTCCATAACGGTGTCGTTGATATCGCTTGATTGATCAGTTCTAGCCGTTAGCTTTATGAGTTACAACAAGTCTGCATTTGATACATAAAAGTTTATGACTGACACGTCTCTATGGTCAATGTGTCTCGCTCCATCCAGTGGATACTGCAACACTCCACATCAATAGAAGGTTGCCATGTAGTGGAATGGAACAATTCAGCTATTTTGGTATTCTTCACAACTTTTGATGCTTACAATAAACAAAATTGTAAACTGAACTACCGTATTGGCCCGAATATAAGACGGTGTTTTTTGCATTGAAATAAGACTGAAAAAGTGGGGGTCGTCTTATATTCGGGGTCTAGACGTTATACCCATTCACGACGCTAGATGGCGTCAGATATCATTGAAGCAAATGCTGAACTTGACTCTCCAGGCCAAAGCGAACCCCTGTCACGAAGAATAAAAATAAAAATAGCGGCAGTACGAAGAAGAAAAATAAAAATCGCGGTAAGAAAGAAAAGAGAAGAAAATAATAGAAGATATAACAGAAAATGGAGAAACGTAGTGACAATCGAGAGAAAAGTGGGTCGAAGGTCAGCCAGGTTAACCGGAAGATGAGGAGAAGTTATGATGTAATTTACATTTCAAAAACCAGAAGCCATTCATACGAAAGTGATTACACTTTAGTTTACATATTTTAATGTTCAGATATTAAGATTTGAATGAGCTAAAATAACATGCTTTTTCTCTCAAATATATTGTTATAATCATTTGTTTCAGATGTGATGTAATTCTTTTCTGTATAAAAATTAATTTGGTGTTCAAAAAGTCTTTTTTCAAACTTGAGTTTTGAAAGAGAGGGGGTCGTCTTATAATCAGGGCCGTCTTATATTCGGGCCAATACGGTACTTGGTAGAAGGCTTTTCCTGCCTTAACCATTCATTCTGTTGCAAAAATATCAGCACATTTTTTTTTCTTTTTCATGTGAATGGTCTTGAAAGCAGTTCAGACTTAAATAAACTTACCGACAGTCTTGACGGTGACCACCCGCGTGTCTGACTTCTCTCCAATCTGCTCCCAGCTGAGTTCCGGTTCAGTGCCGCTTTGAAACCACTCGGTTGCAGTGCAACTGTACTGCCCTTCATCCCCAGGCAAGACATTGTAGATGGATAGTAAGAAGGTGTCAGGCCCCGACCTCTCGACTCGTATCTCGCCATAGCTGGAGCGCTCCCTGTAGGCATCGCTGTGGCGAACGGTGCCGTCTCTGTCCAAAGAGGCCAACCTCTGGGCCGGTTCACTGCCTTGCTTGTCCGTCCACTGCCAGACAACAGACAGCGGACCTGTGGTGGACTGCACCAAGCAGGTCAACTGCATCACGTTGCCCTCCAGTACCTCAGAAGAATTGCTCGACAACAAGACGGTGATGTTGCTCTCTGTAAGGAAAACAGACAACTCGATCAAAGTCAACAAGTGACGAGATGGAAGTCGTTCATTTTTAAAAATCCTGTCCCCACACTGAATCCAAAAGACAACAGCAAAGCACACATTCAGTATTAAAACATCCCAGAGAACATGAGCCCAGTGGCAATGTAACAAATTACAAAGCCTGTTCCCTGGAGTATAAAACCAACCTGCGCGATGCGTAGCGCACCAGTCTTTGCCGGTGTACGTGAGAGGTTGCTATTGCGGATACGTTTCTGGCCCGAGGCGCATCAGAGTGACGGATAGTGAGCAGGCCCTGGCGGGTTTGGGTTTGTGTAGGGGATGGGTTTTTTTAGTCTTTCGGAACTCGCAGTAGTTTATTCACTGAGCTAAGAAGGATTGGATCACAAGAGGCAGATGAAGAGGAGGGTAAGAAGTCCTTCCAGGCTCTCTTGCTTGCTTTCACCGCTTTACGACAACCTCTTCACTTCAAAAACATCACAAAGCTGCAGTTAACCCAAAAACTAAAGTATCAGCCAGCCAAACTTTGTTCTTCCTCCCTAATAGACATGAGCCGTGTATGAATATATATTACGTTAGCCACTCCGCTGCTATCACAGTGAAACCTAAAAATCCTTTTTTCCCCCCAACCTGTTTCACATTCATTCCAAATCTTTCATACCTGAGATAACTCTCCAAAAACACAAGGATTATGGAGGCGCAACACATCAGTGAACAAGGGCTTTTCAGTTGTGTCGTAGAGCTCTACATACACCGTACTAATTTGTTGCTTCCCATACAAGTAAATCACCTGCTAGGGAAAGTCGAATTGACCTTGAAACGTGTCTTTAGCCTAATTTCCACATACAGTTTGGTTCAGTGCGTTGTGCATTTTACAGCATTTCCTTTGTAAAAGGTCCCAAAATATCTGAGCCCAACAGTGCCCTTTTCAGTACCCCCTAGTTATGTTTTAGGTTAAAGTACAAATTCAATGCGATATAACTGATGCGAGAATATCCTTGACACGCCCTTTAGTGTATTCCTGATACAAAACGTACACCGTGGCAAATGGTACCTTGTTGGAAAACATAGCATTAGCGTTGACTTGCTGTGACTACATCACATCTCGGTAGTGACTTTCTCCTACTTTCCCGTTTTAGAGTGGCGCCGAACAAATTTAGATGAGTGTGTGAACATGAGAAAGACGCTCGAGCATAAAAAAAAAAAAAGCGCCACCTCAGTCTCAACTGCTTGCTTGACGCCGTTCCAGGTTTTCCTTAACTTGTGTAACCTCCATAAACATCCTTTACAAGGCATTAACGGTCTTTGTCGGAAAAACAAATTCAACCCTAAAAGGGGTTTCCCTGGAGACTTCCGCTGGTTTGGGGCTATTTTATGTGGGCTGATTTAGCAGGAGGCGCATATCAGGGTCAGGTTAGCATGTTGTTAGCCGCTTGAAAGGAGACGCAACTTTGTGGTTAGGAAGGGTTCTGTTGTTGTTGTTTTTAGTAAAGGCAGCGGCTGATGACACAGATTGTCCCAGCGCAGAGAGACTATGATGTCAAAACGTATGAGGGGGGGGATAAAACAGATGAACCTTCTGCCTTTCAGAAGTCAAATTTGCAACGATCAGGTGTAAGTCTGACTGACCCCGGCCATACATCCGAAAAGAACCTCATCACCCGACGTGGGGAACCTCTTGGCGGACATAGAAGTGATGCGCCTTTCTTTGGCTCTTTTATTTCTTTGTCGTCTTATTTCATGGCTGTTAGTTCAACCTCTGTAAGTCTAGACTCTACAGCTTTCCATTATCCTGGTGTACCCGCTCCCCCCTACCCCCCGCCTCCCCACATCCCTCCGACCCGCTTTATGGGAAGGACCATAATTCTACATTACAATTCCTTAGCAATCCACTCAAAGGGAAAATACATTAGGAATAAGAGCAGCATTATCTGATCTCTACTTACTCACAGCTAACAATAGGGGCTATCTGTCATGGCAAAGGGAGAGAGGTGGGGACATTCAATACCACTAAAACTGCTCTTATGAATAGCTCATGATTCTTAGTGTAATTGACAAGTAAGGACAGAACAACTAAGCCAGTGGCCTCGTGACCGGATTATGACTCACTGAGCGGCTGCACTGTGATCTGAACGTTGCGGGACCGCTTGCTGCGGTCGATGAAGTCTCCCGTGGGTGTCTTTTCCCGCTCTGTCACGCGGCAGATGTATTTGCCGGCGTCGTCGGGGCGTAGGTGCTGCAGTTTGAGGAGGTGCACATTGGGGCCCTCCTTGCGCACCGTCATGTGGCCGGCAGCTTCGCGAGCCACATAGTCGGTTCCCAGGACAGGCACGGCACTGGGGCCCACCACGGCCACCGGTGAGCTGCTGAAGACCCACGACACCATGAAGAATCGCTCAAGGACGTTCTGCGCCTCAATGGTGCAGCGGAGCTCCAGCGGCTCACCGGCCGTGAAGGACCGTCGCTCCGTGCTCACCTGGATGCTGAAGTCGCGATCTGAAGAGAAAACAGAACGTGAATGTTAGAAAGAATTGGCCAGCGAACAAAAACCTGTGTATAAGTGACGGCCATTGAAAACTGGATGACTTTTTTTTCCGAACTCCAAATTCTTAAAAAAAAAATAATAATAAATAAAATGCAATATGCACCCACCTCAAAAAAATAAGATTTTTAAAATAAATGAAAATATTGAAAAAAACAACGAGTTGAAAATGAAGTGTTACGTGAAAGGGACTTGGTCGTGCAACTTTTGGGTATTAACCCAAACGTACTTCCTCATATTCAGTTTTATTTTTATCTTATCTGATTATTCAGTATTCACGGTGCATTCGTTTTGGTCATTTTATGAAGCCGCCTTTACTCGATAACAACACTAAGCATTAAAACATTATCCATCGTGTTTCCAGCTCAATGATTTTGCACCCAACTCATCCAAGCACCTCTTTATGGACCTTGCTTTGTGCTCTTCCCCATTCAAAATGTCTTGTCAGGGCAAACTATGGCAATTAGTCCTACTCGTGATTGATTCATTGATTAAGAGGCATGTCCCAATACTTTGATCCATACAGTACATTACGCACACTAAATAATGACTGGCTTCGTGTCGCTATTAACCCCTGCGCCCGCCTCTCGTCTGTGCGCTCCTCTGCATCACAACAGAGAACTGATGGTGGAGGGGGGGCTCGAACATTTTCACACCAGAGTGTTTGTCAGGAAGTGAGTACGTCGTCGTAATTACAGCTCGAGGCTACCACCAACACTGAGAGGCAAAGCATCCGTTTCCGACACGTAGCCTACCGCGCTCATCATCTGCAAATTAATACAGCAAATAAACCCAGCGCACGCCCCCACCCCCATGCACTCCTTCTCCACGCACACACACACACACACACACACACACACACACACACACACACACACAGAAAGTGATCGTAATTTGGATAAGTGGAAGCGGAGTGAGCACCACCAACTTTGCTGTGTGTGAGCAGGAGGAAGAAGAGAGCACTTGACTCCCTGTCACACTGCAAGTGAGAATTCTAATTAGGTTTATTTTTTATTGCAGAGGTGAAAGCTACGAGGGGGGGTGGGGGGGGCGGCGAACGGCACACTCTGACAAATCAGCGTTTTTTTTTCTTTCTTTTTTTAAATCCCTGCACCGCACAGCCTGACCTCAACCTTTCCTCTTTTCTATTCCCTTGGCGTCTTCTCTGTGGTTGCAACTGACACAATTTTAGTGTCATCTTGTGCCCTGAGAATCCCCTTAATATTCTATCCTCCTCACTTTAGTATTCAGCCTCTGCACTCAAAAACTGTGGATAGCACAGTCTTGCATTGTTTTGCCAAGATTAAGTCTCCCTTTTTCAGCCAGAGGCTATGTACAGTTGTTTGGAATACGGACAGAGCTCTCATGGGTGAACTTTTGAGTCCTTGTTGATTAATGTGCATCGGCTGTGTTGGCACACTCGGGGATGACTACGTTTCCTTGATAGACTGGGAAGAGGAACAAATAATTGATTACAGGGGTTCTCGGTTTACGATGGCACAGGCAAACGATTTGAGGTTGCAAGTAAATGACGACTAGTTTACACAGCAACATAAATTATTTTCATACTTACTGTTTTTTATTTGATTGTGTGTTTATTATGGATTAGAAGTGTTTTTTATAGTTTGTACAAATGTTTTGTGTGTTGCAGCACAACATAGGCAGGGTAATGCTGCCCAGTGCGTGGCCATTTTTGAGAGCGCTCAGCTCATTAGAGATGCGGGTGAGTTGAAGTTGACTCAGTGGTCATATATAATTGTTTATATCATTTTTTTTTGTTGTTGTTGTTGAGAAAACTCATGCAATCAATTCACAACCAATTCCGATCGATAAATCTATCAATACGCAGCAAATAGTCGTAGCAAGTAGACCGAACAAGCTATAACAAATAGAGTAGGCAGTGCAGCAGAAGACAGCCATAATCGCAACACAAAATACAAATGTAACACACAGAACAGAGTAAAATTTTGTGTTTTCCAAGCCATTTAAATAATTGTCGGTGGCGCACACTTTCTCAACATTGTATGTGGTCACCTTGCATCACAGTGTGTTATGTACCAAATGTAACGTGTGATGTGCTGCAGCTTTAACCGCCACGATGTCACTTGCAGATTGATTGTTGAACGGGAATAAATAACAGTAATCTTCTGCATATATTACGATGTCAGAGCCCAAATCTTTTTGCGTAGACGCTATTCAAGAGGGTTGATTTATACTGATACGACAACTAAGGAATGATGACAGCTCACTATTCATCTTGGCACTTGGTGGTCTGCCTTCCTGATGAGGACAATCAAGTTTAGATTCATGTCATTAATAATATCGAATAGAAGTGACATTCCAAATCCCACATTGCTTGGTCCAAGTCTTCAATGGTGAGAAATGACAATTCATTGCTCTTTTTCTGTACTTACTGCTTTCGAACATGCTGTGTGAAAAAAAATAGGAAGAAAAAACTAAAGTTCATAACTAGGCGAAACAAGCAAAGGATGGTTTTGTTTTTTTTTTTTGTTTTTTTTGTGCTCCAGTGTGAAGTGGAGGCGAGTGGCAATGACCAAAGGGGGAAAAAAAGTAATAAATCACACCGTGGTACATTTAAGATTTTTTTAAATTCCTCATTATGACTAATAGAAAGCATGTACGAAAGCCAACATGACAGCTTTTTCCATCAGCTGTTTGCCATTTGTTATCCCCTTTGTAAAGCAAATGGCTGCCATCTACTGGACTGGAGTGAAACATCATCTTCAGATTCCTACTTTCAGGCAGGGAGGGCCCTGCTATTAAACTGCTTTCTCGTGGCACAGTTCCGGCTCGAGTTCATCTACTATGTGCCTTTAAAAGAATAATATGCAAAAACTATGCGGCATTGTAAAAAGTACATGATTACATCATTTGGAGGTAAACTAACAACGAACAACAATTATTCGAGATACTTTAATTTTATCCAAGGAGTGACAAAGCAGGGGATTAATTTACTGCTACAACAAATCGGAGACTGCAGGGTCTGAAATGCAGCATCTCGAGCTAATGAACAGCAGCCATTTTTTTGCAGGCAATCCCATAGCACACACTGTCCAGACAAACAACCTTTCACCCCTGTGGATAATTTAACATGCACCTTCTAGGAATGTGGAAGGAAGCCGGGACCCAAGGGAGTTTCGACCACAGAACCTGTTGACTGTGAGATATGTGCCCCTTTTTCATACTAGTTCTACTGGGAACCAGCCTGGTTCTGCCCTGCTATTCCAACGCAATGTGTTTTACAGCAACACTTAACCATATATACAATTTCATATGGACCTGTGACGGAAGTTGCAAAAGTTGTGGTAAAAATGTATGGGAGAAAGGTGAGCCCAGTCTTTCAACATGTTGACACCTGCGTCTTTATTTTCGCCACATCCAACATTTTGGAGCAACCCACATCTTTTTATGACTTAAAAAATATACGGTATATTGTATAAGGAGCCTCAGAATTCAATACTGGCTCGCACAGATCACATCAGGGGTAGTCCACACATTAAATAAGCCTCTCAATTTTGATTGGTGCCTTTTTTAATGGACAAGAAATGTAGACCAAGGACAGGACAACCAAGGCCAGGGGCACACTGGGGGCCAGGCTGTTCTGGAACTTGTAATGGAAAAGCATTAGTATATACTATAAACCCAAGCCACTAAAAGCAACTTCATCTCTCTCTGTTTTCTGTCACACTTGGTTCGGATTGTGGGAGGAAACTGGAATCACAGAAGAAAACGGGAAATTTATGCAGAAGTGCCTGGACTTCGATTTGAACCGAGAACCTCTCAACTCTGAGGCAGATGGGCTCGTTACTAAACCAAGACACAAACACAAAAAAAAAACCTCATAAAAAGTTACAAATCTAAAGTGGACCAAAGAGGAAGTATGAGGAAGTTGATTTAAAAAAAATAATAGAGCAGTAAAAAGAAAAGTTCTTAAAAACAGAGAGTTAAAAAAAGATTCTGTCCAAGGCTTGCCTCTTTGATGCTGGGTGCGGGTGATTAGTTAGTGATGGGGCTGTCTTCCACTCCATCTTTTATGATGGGAGCTTAATGTAGGTGCTGTGCTCTGCTCCGATAACATCCTCCCCATTCCGGTTGTCAAATTTGCACACATACCGACTAGACGAGTTCGCCCCCAAAAAGTTAAACAAGGTTCACCCTCGCCTGGCGGTAAGCAAACACAAAGCAATCCAAAAATCACACACATCAAGAGCGCTATGATAGGCAAACCTCTGCTGTGTTCGCCGTCATGCAACAACACCTCTATCTATTATGGATTACAGGGAAGAAGGAGAGTGACAACGGGTTCAGAGAGGGGAACTCTTGGTGCCTTTTGTCTCCTCCCTGAAGTAGCACGGAGTCATCTGACAAGTGTGCTTTACATCTCTGTTGGCGCTCCCCCCACCGTCTCCACCAGCCAACGCTGTCTGGGGCGCCATCAACTTGTACAGCTCCAGAGCGGAAATGATATTTCATTGTTAAAGGCCAAAAATGAGTCTAATTTGAAGGGATTCGCTTGTCGAGACACCCAAGTCTGTGTTGTGCGCTAATGTCATCGCTGTTTACCAGCCGGACGTAAGGGCCTTTCCAGTTAGGCGCACAAAGAACAAATGACTTCTTCCGAGTGGGTGACGGCACAGCTCGAGCGACGGGGTGAGGAGGTCGAGTTGGGTGGGAGGTGCGGTGACGAGCCATAAAGCTGTCTTTGTGTCTGATCCGTCAAGGCCGGGGGTTGACTACTTATGAGATAATTATCATGAGGCATAGTAAGCCGACAGCGACGCCATCATGTTACTTGACCCGATGTCCTACCTCCTCTTTCTTCCTCTTACTCCTCCACCGCCTCCCGCACTTTGTCATCTCCATTAGACGATCGACCGACCGGACAATCAGAGTTGCCGACGGCCGGCACCGTGCCTCACGCTAATGCACTCAAGAAGAACCGCGACTGGTGTCCCCGCCAAATCGTTTTCCAACCTGAAAGTAGCGATAGAGTGAAACAGGGCCTTGTCGCAGTTTTCGCTATTTACGAATGCTCCTGTTACAATATATGGGGAACCTACACTACCTTGGGCTATTTCCTGACGATGTACAGTTTTTGTAACCTTTTCATAGTGCAGATTTTGACTCAAGATAGTAGCTTACAGTGATATGTATTTGTCGAGGAGGCATGAAAAGGCCTTGTCGCAGTTTTCACTATTTACGAATGCTCCTGTTACAATTTATGGGGAATCTACACTACCTTGGGCTATTTCCTGACGATGTACCTTTTCACAGTTTTCGTAACCTTTTCATAGTGCATATTTTGACTCAAGCTAGTAGCTTACAGTGATATGTATTTGTCGAGGAGGCGATAAGTTGAGCCAAGTTTAGCTGTGCCGCATGCGTATGGTTTTGTTCTGCTGAATGGCTACTAACTCGGTCACTGCCAGCCGTTTTCCCAGGATTGCCAACAAAATAATGACGTTCTTTATGATCTTTGAAGACCCACAAAATCTTGTGCTGCGTGACCCTACAAAAAAGAAAGAGTAGATACTCTTCTTTTAGCAGGAAACAAAAAATGTTTCCAAATTCTTCCCTTCTTTAGTAATCGGCAGCTGAACGTCATAATATGGGACGCGTGTGAGACGAAATGTCCTCCAAAAACTCTCGCTTCTTATGTCACACCGAAAGAAGCAAATACTGCAGGCTGTCTTTGCAGATGTGATGATCGTTTGTCTGGTCCAAACTGACGATGAAAACTCAGTTTGGGTTTAATCTTTTCTTTTTAAACAACAGGCCTGGAACCTTTAAGAAATTAATTAGCCTTTGGGTACACGAATGGGCTCCTATTGTACTGCTACATCGAACAATGGGGAGACTGTACACTGTAGACACCTGTTGTGCACCGTTAAAAGCAATTTACACTATCCTTGCCTATACTTTTAATGTTGCTCGCTAAAGCGACACAAATGCATCAGTGGGAGGTCTGTGGAGGTTGAATAAGCCCTTTTTAGAGAGTTAATGAGCCTAGTGTGAGAGGCTGATCAGCAATCAGAGGAAGCCAGCCCCCACATGTGCGATGTACATCTGCTTCTTGACTCTTTCAAATCAAATCTGCATCCCTCACTTGGCTCACCGGTGGGCTGAATGCGGAGCGGGGTCTTGTCGCTCTGTTTGCGGGTCATCGCAAACCAGCTGCCGTCGGCGTCCTGGATCCACTCCGCAGCCTGGCAGTAGAGCAGGCCCTGGTCCACCGGCTGCAGCTTGCGTCATCGGGCGCTTTCAGGTACCAGCCCACTGACAAGTGCGTGTGTTGCATCGTGGTCCGGGAAACTTCACAGGTCAGCTGAAGAGTATCGCCTTCCACTTTGGACAGGGTCTGGGCTGGAGCGGATACTGTCAGTGAGTCAGCAATAACTGCAAAGAGAAAATGAGAATCTCAGTCAGAGGTGGGGCAAATGTCATGTGGATAAGCTGACACAACTTGGAATTTGGCTTGATGATGGAGTAGAGAGTCAGAGACTATATGATATAGACTTTACCACCGCTAGTTCGAAATGTATTTTACTGCCCCTGCAAAAGGTCAAGGATAGCCACAGTGCATTTTCAATCGCCGTGAGACGAAATTCACAAAAGAAACAAGCAGCACATACATAGTAGGTGAGCTTCTATGGCCACACCTCTTGCCTCGTCACCGATCCACACAGCATAGGACCAGGGCACGAGCTAACCTGAGTTAAAAACAACCAACTCTCCCTCGCCGATGCACACATCAGGCCCTGAATCAGTCACAGATAGTCGAGCATAGAATGTGAGGATGGTCACGTAAGTGCACAACAATAAAACTTGCTCATCACATGCATGGTGTATAAATTAATGTACCGTATTGGCCCGAATATAAGACGCTGTTTTTTGCATTGAAATAAGACTGAAAAAGTGGGGGTCGTCTTATATTCAGGGTCTAGACATTAAACCCATTCACGACGCTGGATGGCGCCAGATATCATTGAAGCGAATGCTGAATTTGACTCCCCAGGCCAAAGCGAACCCCTGTCACGAAGAATAAAAATAAAAATAGCGGTAGCACAAAGAAGAAAAATAAAAAAATCGTGGTAAGAAAGAAAAGAGAAGAAAATAATAGAAGAGATAACAGAAAATGGAGAAACGTAGCGACAATCTGGAGAAAAGTAGGTCGAAGATCGGCCAGGTTAACCGGCAGCTGAGGAGAAGTTATGGTGTAAACTTCAAGATGCTTTTTCTCTCAAATATATTGTTATAATCATTTGTTTCAGATGTACTGTAATTATTTTCTGTGTAAAAATTAATTTGGTGTTCAAAAAGACTTTTTTCAAACTTGTGTCTTGAAAATGAGGGGGTCGTCTTATATTCGGGTGTATGATGTGTTGGCATTGTGGTTTAATCACACAAATCAAATTTTCATCCAATTACTCTATTCACAAATGAACTAGTCAAGCCTAAAAATATTCAGTTTGAAAAATACTTTGGTGACGTTGTACTTTCCCCAAAAATGATTCTAACCCATGTTCCGTCTTTTGTTTAACTGAGGGAACTCACATTGTTGTATTTCTTCATTGTGAGGCACATGGCTTCCAATTTGACTACCAAATGGCGCAACAAGGGGTACAGCATATACAATGTGCAAATCTATTCAGGGAATGCACAGGTAGGAAGTGCTTAACATCAAAATGAATGAGTGCCGAGGCCGTTTCGGGTTAGAATGACCCATTATTTTAAGTGTTGCGTCCCAGTCCATAAAGAAACAGCAGGTTGCTGTTTAATGTGCAGGACTGGCTTGACTACAGCAGACAATTTGGGGTTTATGTCTGCTCGTAGTGAGAATAAATAGACGTATCGATAGAAACTAAAAGTGCCTCAAGATCTGTTTTGCAACCAAGTGGAGGAAGAAAAATATTCGTCTCCCTCTGACATGAGCGCCACCCATATCCTCCTGTTTCATGTTCGACTTTAACATGCTAGAGTATGCTGACACCTCACACAGCAGGACTGGGCTCCGGAGAATTACATGAATGTATGAATAAGCATGCAGTAGAAGGTCATTTATTGAAAAAAAAAAAAGGACGAAACTGAAAGATGTAGAAAAGGACTGTTAATTTTAATTTATGGAGCAAATGCGCCTCAATGGCAAGGTGAAATGTATGACTGTGATATGCGCATATTGTATGCAGGCACGGTGCCTAGGAATGTGCTCAATGCACAGAAGTTAAAACAGCGTGACATCAAGTTAATTGAGCAAATGATGCAAGTCGAAGCATAATTGTGTGCGGTGAATCTTACCTGAGCTAAAGCAACAGCGTGCTGTAATTTGTGCTTCAAATAACAACTTCCACGTCACCGCCATGGTTCATTGGCTTGCAATAAAGCTGAGGACGTGCTTTTTGATATCGGCGTGGCAACTTCAGTGGACCAGCCAGGCACTCGAATACATCATAACCGAAGGGGTTCGCTTTGAAAGCCGTCAACGGAGCCAAAAACCTAATTCTTCAGGTCGTGCTGTCGAGGTTGGTTATTTCGTCAACTGCTGAGAGCACGCATATCAGTATACGTCACATAATTACTTTTAGCCAACTCAGAACTGCGAGCGGCGTTCTATTCACTTTTACTAGTTAGAGGCCAGTAATTTACTGTACTTGGCTGTCAACCTTGAGAGTCGTTTAGCATTTCGTGATAGCTGTACGTTATAGTGCCATTAGGCCGAACGTAAATATACTGAAATCAGACACAATCTGTTATTTATTTATTTCACATGTACCAAATGACTATATTATCAGTAATTTTTTTTTAATTGTGTGTAAAAAAAAAAAAAAAACTGGATGTATGGAAATAGTCAGAGTCTGTATGCTTGATAACAAGATGATGGATGTCCAAACGTTTTCAGGCACTCAATTCCCCCTTCCCCCCTTCCCCCCGACCTTCCAAACACTCTGAGTCTTACTTTCGCAAGCAGACACCAAAGCGCACACTCACCAGTGGGAGGACGAGAACCAGCCCACCGAGCGACGTGTGAAGGTAAGCAAACGCCAGCCCGAACATACACACTTCTCTGCCGCATAAACTTGCCGGCAAGATGATGACTCACAAGGAACAGCCTGTAATGCCTCTGCAGTCACCCAACATTACCTGTTTTTTGTTTGTTTGTTTTTTCTAGAGGCATTTATTTGTGGTGCAGTGCTGGACGATTAATTGGTCATAGATATGTGTATTTATTTGAGAGGAAGCCACCATGAGGAGATATTATATTCCATACCATTAATTTTAATGATAGCGGGCCATACTATTTTTCAAAATATTTCAAGTCAGATAAACGCAAAAGAGCAGCTATGAATACATTTAACTGGGAATGTGTTTCTGTTGTGCAAAAACAGGCGCTGCAGCGAGCGGGGCCAGCCAAAACGAGCAGCACAGCCAAACTGGGCCAAAGTCAGACAGATCACAGAGAAGAAGACAGACAAGAGGACGGGGAGAAGAAAATACCGTGGTTAGCGCAGCTCAAGTGAGAAACGGTGTTAAAATAGACGTAGCAGGAAAACAAAGTGTCCAATAAGAGAGGGTCAAAGTCAGCAGCCCTCTAATGAGGTGCTACTTTCTGCTGCTGCAGTACAGCCGCGGAGGATGGAGCAATTTGCTGCACTTCTTTGACTGAATACTATCTTCGCATCCACTTCTCGCTCACCTCAAGTGAATTATTATGGCAATATTAGTCCTGGGTGCAATAAACCTTTTCTGCTGATATACGCCTTTGTTGCTTGTATGATACAATTACTAATATGGGACTCTAAGTAGGCCGGTGCCAGTGTTTATAGTGAGAGGCTCTGTTTATAATGGTTTCTGGCTGGGCAAACTCACTCTCTTAATGGGTCTTACCGCTGGGCAAGCGGATTTCAGTGGAACCATATCGCTATGATATAATCCTGTTGTTGTTCCACAAATTAGTGTCTTCCAAATTCGGGACCCTGAGCGATAAAGTGTAACGCAATTTCGAACATGAGTGAACGAGATCGGATAAAGTTTGTAATCTCTCTTTTTTTTTTTTTTGTGTTAGTTAGCCAGATTAAAAATTTTGACTGCCAGTACACTTTATTATAATCGACACAAAAGAAGAGACACTCAGCCAAAATAAATCAAATAAAACAATGACATATTTACATGAACAATTTGTCTGTTCTTTATTGAAATAATTGGGTTAATATTTTATGTATGTATTTATGTATATATATATATATATATACATATATATATAATTCAAGCACCTGTGCAGTACAGTGTGAATTGAATTCCTTTTTGGTGACTTAATTGATAACTGTGAATGAATTTAATTTATAAAACTGCAATCGCCACATCCTTTTGGATTGATATTTAGTTTTTTTCTTTGAAATCATGCTTAGTTTTCACTGTACCCGTAATAATATAGAGATATGTAGTATAAATAGACAAATGAAATTGTGTCCATATAGTCCAGCCTGAAAGGAAACCATTAAACTTAGTGACAAACAGGACAAAAAGGCGAGATACAATTTATATTTATACAATTTGATGATCATAATGATTTCATAGTCCATTGTAATTTCTAGGGTGTTATAAAACATTTATTACTGCATCATTACATCGGATAGTACTTAAATTGTCAATTACTGTTCAACTCATCAAAAGACTGAATGCTCAGCAATCAGAGCCTGAGCAGCAGCCGCACGAGACTGTTACCACAACAACACACCTACGCTACAACCTACCATCGCCATAGCAACCCTCCCACATGATTCTCCGGGCCTATTAGAACAGCAAAAGCGTCACTGGGACAACCTTGTGCCCCTGCATACCTCCGATATCTATTGTGAAGCCCTCTAAGTCCCCGTGGACTGAAAGAATTCAGCAAGTTGATGCGTCACAGCCCATGGGCTCACTTCTTTAAGGAGACATTTAACATTGGGACTAGTCCTGAACCCCCTGAACCAATCAGACTTCGAGACAGCTCAGTCTGGGATAGCAGACCAATCAGGGGACGTTAGCCAATCTCGGTATTTCTGAGTGAGGTTGTGGAGATCTTGCAATGGCCTCACTGACCTCAATCTGGGAGCGGATTAGGAAGAGAATGAGAAGGCATTCGTGGGCACAAACACACACTTTCTGCTGTCACTTGAGACCTCAAAGCAGTGATTTCAACTACCTCAACTATTGCCGCTATATGTCATAAATGTCAACCTTGAAGCCTGATTGTTTGGGTAAACGTGGTTCTAGATGGCCATTCCACACTGAATGAAATGCTCATTAAGGCTAAAAACACTTCATAGGGCACCCTCTGAAATACCTTTTTTTTTCTCGCCAGAATAGAAAACTTTCCAAACTTTTCCATTATAACTCCCTGTCGGCTTAAATCAATG